CTAACGCGGTTAAAACCAAAACACCCTTCTAAAGCGGCTAAAGCCACAACACCCCTCTAACGCGGTTAAAACCACAACACCCTCTAACGCGGTTAAACCACAACACCCCTCTAACACGGTTAAAACCACAACACCCTCTAACGCGTTAAACCACAACACCCCTCTAACTCGGTTAAAACCACAACACCCGAAAGGGCACCCTATTGCGCATGCATGCTCAGTGTGCTGCTTATTTGTGTACGACCACAGATACACCGAATGAGAAACTCTCCTACTGGGCATACTGCAGATGCAGCTACGAAGACACTACCTAGCTACACCGTAAGAGCATCCTGGCTTACTAGGTACATAACATGTACGTGTGTTGCGCATATAATATACGTTGTACGTTTTGACGGAGCAGACACAAACAGCTGCCGTGCGGGCGGGCCACACTGATCCCGAAGCAACGTATATATAAACGCAATCAATACAATACGTTGCAACCCAACAACGAGAGAAGAGACTGAGCTCTATGACATCCCACAACATGAGATGTGATTATTTGAGGTGCTTCGTCCTTTCACAACATCTGATATGGGCCTTATACGAAGGCTACAGGCGAGTCTCAGCGATGCACTACGCCGGATCACTCATATCGTATGCTCACCTCGAATACGTACACACCATGAAAGTACATTGGCACTTCTTTCGCTCAGCTATGGCAATACGTGACTTAATTGAAACTGAAGACTTATATACATTTGTACGATAATGTAACAGAACTGCGTTGCTAAATACTAATACTACGTTGGGGAGTTCCCTTAAAAGCGCAACTATACACTATGATACGGTCGATAGAACACTGCGGAATGATTTGCGACACATCTGCGACACGGTGGCTTCAGCAGGAATCATGACCCCTCTGCATGTGCTGCACTGATTGATTTGCGACATGATTTGCGACACAATGCACCCGTGTCACTCACCGTTCGGTTGCATATTTGTTGAGCTTCTCGATGGTGATCCCTTTCTTCGTGAGATCAATACCATTGGCTTGCTCGTCACTTATGGGCTGTCGCAGAGAAAGCCGGTACACAAAAGTGGTAATTAGTAGTCCAGTTAATACGCAGTGCAGGACGCCCTGCAATTGTTTAACCAGTCAACCTATATCTTAAAGAGAGGCGACCCATAAATGATACACACACACACATATATATATATATTTATATACATACATACATACATACATACATACATACATACATACATACACACACACATATATATATATATATATACATATACATATAAAAACGCACCTATATACACAAAACGAGGTATTGATCTGGTATATTTTATAGCACACACCTTGGGGATTCCCGAACCAGTTAGGGCAACCTTCAAGGAAGCGCAGAAGCTCTCGTCCATCACAGCCACCGGTCGCCCATCTCTTCCTTGGGTTATACTCAGCACTTTCAAATCCTCGAGGGCTTTGATAGCCTCCCTATGGTTTCAAGAATGGAGGTGTCAATCGCAGCACGAGAGTCCGCACACACACAACTCTCAGATGTTGGAGAGCTTTCTCAGCACTTCTGCAAAAGACCTCTGACGAGAAACTCGGTTCATGTGATAGTGATTGAACAAACACACCATAAGGTGTTCACAGATGATAGTGTGACATATAGGTAGTCAGTCACATATGTTCATCTTGGCACGACTATGCGGAGTTTAATAGCTGTGCCCAACAAGACGAGGACAAACTTGTGTATCTACGAGGGAGATAGTTCATACATGTCTATGGGCGAAAGGGAAGGGAGAAACACAAGGGTATTAGAGGACACTGCGTGTGGGATACGTCTACGGGAACGTGGGAGTAAAACCCTAAACCCTAAAAGCAGAAGGGTACTAGAGCACACAGTGTGTGGCTTATGTGCACGTAAGTACAGAATAATTGGCACAAAGGAAATGCCAGGTTTTAATACTACACGCAACTACATGCGCAGGAGGTACACGACAGAGATTCAGGTGTGTTCATCTATGTAGCTCACCAAACATGCACGACCCTACTCAATAAGATATTTATAGTCCAATGTGTGTTCGAAAAGCAATGTTGTTCTCTAGGCTTACAATATAAAGTTCACACTGCAGCTTAAGGTAGTTGTATACACACAAACCATGCGATAATAGAAAACCAACAAGTATATAATAAAATCCGTTATGTTACAAATACATATACATAGAAATATACATATACATATAAATAAACATATACAGACATAAGTATATAATAAACATACAAATATAAACATACATACCTACATACATACACACATACACACACAAACGCACATGTAGACACGCACACACAAACACACACACACACACCACCATACTATACTA